TTTTTATATCGAAGGTCTTATCAAAACAGCTCACAAAAATCTTGCAAAGTCGTTTAATTTCACTTTCAGGTAAATTGATGACGTCTTGTCTTTCAATAACCTGAGAATTATGAACCACGTCCATTGTAAAAATTGAAAACTACGGGCACGACAGACTCTTCTACATCTCAATTTTTCCTACAACGAAACTAATATGGACAGCTTTCCACCGACTTAAGTGACAAACGTGGTTATTTAATTTCCATATAGTTAATTTTCCATTTCTTCATAACAACATCTCTGTATTCGCAACCTATAGTCTTTTCATGTCGCAGTCGATTCGATATGCAAGGGCCAGCTCCCTTTATCACGATTTTCTTTCAAGAAGCCGTCGATTTACGGGCAAACTCGTAAAGCAAGGTTTCAAATGACGCAGGTTGATGAAAATTATGTGGAACTTTGAGGTCGTCATTGTGATTTCATTGATTTCATTGTGCTATATGAAGAAGGACGTGTGTGATGCTCGTTAGCTTGCCTCTGGTTTGTTGCTGTAGGCCTTGTCATGATTTGACAACGTGACATTAATTACATGGGTTGACCAAGATTTACATGGCGAGCGTCGTCGATGAAGCATAACAAGCCTACTCTTCTAGAACACCTGGTCTTACTTTCCATGATTTTTTCAAGAATCTCCATCTTTCTTTTATTAATAATTTGCCCTAGTTTAATTGAATATGAGTTTGGACTATGATTATGTTGACATATTAGTATTTTCTTGTTTTTTTATGTCTTCCTCTAGTTGTAACTATATGTAGCCAAGTATAACCTTCATATATTCTAATGTTTAGTTGCAATCATACCTTCCCTGATACATCCATCCTTGTCATCTTTGAATTCTCCAGAATGCCTTCAAACTCTATATAATTGAGGCTAATACGTTGACTAGACTAAACATTAGGATGTAATTGGATTGACAACAGATCAGCCTATGGATACCCTCGCTTCTCAATACGATAGAGTTCGTATCATGTAACAAAGAACAAATCGCAGAATCAATTGTAATTAGTTGTTTTTCGAATTGTGTTAATTGGTAATTTGTAAATGTGCGATTTTCGGCAAAAAATACCGTAATTTTTAACTTTCTAGGTGGTATTTCTGATACCATATTACTCTCAGTTCCAGATAAATATCCTATTGAAGGAAATAACCACAAATAATTGATTTAATTCTTCAAAGGTCATGTAATCGTAGTGAAACGACAAAGGCATTGTGAAGTACAAGCAGGCACCCAAACTCCGTTCTATTGGCCAGCATGTCTACGCCTGTACCCCAGGAGACAAACTCTATATATCACAATCACAATCGACTGCATATAGAAGTTTGATACGGTGTTTCTCTTTCATGTCATAATGAATAAACTGGTACGGAGCCAGATGACACGATGTGGATCTCATCCACATCTATTTGTTCTAAACAAGAGACACATTGTGTTTATATTGCTAACAAAAATGACTACATTGTCTTATAGTCGTCCAACGCAGCTGTTGATATCAGAATTAACTTCAGGTTTGTTTGTGTAGATAAAAAGCAAAGCTATATTGAACCATTGAAGTCGACGATATGGTCTCCATGCGATACGACTCTGTTCAACAATACTTTCCTTTTTGCGACTTCGTTTGCACTATTCGTTTTGAGGTAACTATGTACTCCGTCTTACATAAGCATTATGTGACTGTATTCCCAAGTGACCAACAGCTTCAGTCATGATTGGACGATTATTTTAGGGATATATATATATAAGGTGTTATTAGTATATAGGATTTTGTATAGGATGGCGCTGCGGATTTATCTCCACGGGACTTAATTATTATGTAACAATCTCCTGCAGTCTTCTTTTGTTATGTTTGTTACACCCACCGGTTGTCATGTGGACGTAAGAAGTCGGATTAACTTGCGATATTGCAGATTCCCTCTAGGAGCAAAAGCTTCATACACACGCAATGTTTACTCAAGACACAGCATTGGTTTTAAGACCAAAAGCCGCTTGCTAAAGTGCTAAAAGTTGCGTTCTTTATACATGTAGATGTGATTTGTATTCTTGATTATTCGTAATAATTATGTAATGTCGTATGATAAACTGGAGTATTTTTTGCCAGCACTACACAAGAAGGCATTGTTAACAATTCGTTTTAAACCAGCTTACACCAGAACTGATTTCTAATTCGACGATAGGACTGACCAAGAACATTTAATTTATATTGAGCACTAAAATGTAGGTGGTAATTTTGAAACAGGTTTTCCTATTTATGTGAAATGGTGTGCGTATGTTTTCCGTTAGTACATGTGTAGCTCTTATTGTTACCAACAAACATTTAGTATATCAATACGACGAAACCGATCATTCTCACATCCGTTCAGGAGGACGTTATAAAACGTTACCTTGACGATAGAGCGATACCCAATTAGAATACCATGTAAATTACTTTACAGTAAATAATTTATCAATGTTATTACAAGTTACATGATTTTAAGAAAAAGTCGGAACTTGCCAATATTTCCAGCCAAACTTTTCTAATTGACGTGTTTACGTGGCTTTTCATAATATTTTTTTGTCAGTGTTTGAGACCACTAATTAAAATAACGAAACTTTGTCTTTATGTATTTTCCAGTGTATAAATGTACTGAATAATCCTTTATGTTTAACGTTTCATATCGTGGAATGTGTACTTATATTTAATTAATTTATTGATATCATTCCTTAATGGATCTTTATTCATTGTAAACATATTAACTTAAAACGCCAAATAAAAATGCGTCTTTTGTTTGAAAATTTCTAGTTGCTGCTTTTTGTTAGAGAATAGTCAGAATCATTATCTGACGGGATAAACAATTTAGCTTTAGAGCGATACTTTGTTCAGTAGATGGAATCTTAATTACACTTCATGCAATTAATTTGATACCAAGTTACGTAGAAATACCTCAATGTATTGTACGGAATATTCGATTAAGAATGTGAAAGCGAAAGATTAACGTCGTTAATAAACTACCTATACTTATCTGATTCTGATGATCTTACATCTGGTATCGATTACCATGTCTAAGTGTTGTAACAATGTAACAATACATTTAAGACAAGATAACATACAATAGAACATCAATCCAGTTTTAATCCATTACTTGTTTGTACTAGTTACTCATAGATATTTAGAAAGAGTTACGACTTCCCTGCCCTTCTAGATACTTTTAGATGAAATTGTCCTTAAACCAGTAATACTGAATAGCTTCCCAAACCTTTCGTGTAATATCTCGACAAATTAGAGATCGCTACAATGTTTTCTGTGACATGCAGATTTCGAAAATATTACGTTCGTGAGTGTTGTCGTAAATGAAGGCGGATACTCTTCTGAAACACCTGAACATATTCTCCTTGTAACGTTTAAGCGCCTCGATGTGATTCTTTCTATTTTTCATATTTTCCATAGTTGCATCGAATCTGAGTTTGATGAAGATTCTGCTCTTTTCTTTTTTGATAATTGTAAGATTTAAGCTTGCATACTGCAGTTAAAGTGTATCAATATGACCGACTATACAATTTTCGTTTTCCTAAGGAACGGGTTTTTTCAGTTCTGTATTTAGTACATTCACTTTAATCAGAGAAAATCCTCGTGTGAAGTTTGCTCCACTTTGTAGTCAACTTAAAATTGTTCTTCTGGTGATAAGACTAATTTAGCTTTATAATTACATAAGTCACATAACTTTCTCCACGGTAAAAATGCATTTTTCCCTCGTTGATATTTATGTACAGTTATGTGACAAAGTTTCACGATGAGCTCACCGTTGTGTATTTGCGATATATCTGCGATTCTATCGTGGTTGATGAAAATTAGAAATGACTTACAGGTAAATATAGATATAGTTTATTTGTTTTCTTGATACATATATAAGAGTACAACTAAGTATATTACGTAACTAATACATTCATACGTTTATAGGTTGGACACATGTATGGTTATCATATGCAGAACAAATAGAGAAATACACTGGTAATTCACTGTCTTTTGTCTACAAAACGATACAAGTTACTAGCATAAAAGTACAGACACTCATTATATATACATTCTATATGTAAACATTAAATGGACGTCTCTTTTTGTCTCGGCAATGAATCACCGAAACTCCCATAACGTAAGAAAGGACATTTTGTCTCCATTCCTTCTAAATTACTCTTATTTTTATATAATTTGTCAACAAAACTATATACACAGGTAAATCTTAAATGTTGTAATTATCGCACGTGACACCTAGCCAGTACAGGTCCAGGTAACGTACGTACCCGTATTATACCTGTCCGAGGCTCATCTATACCCACTTTCTGATATGTAAAACTATATGATAGAGAGGCTATCTAATGCAGGGTTCAATGTATTTCGAAAAAATATCGCATCGAATTTTTCTTTTAACCGACGAACAATTCTGATTTGCCTGTGATCGCTATTTAATCATAACTTCATGGCTTTCTCGTGTAAGTTTCAAAACGAAATATTAGCCAACCGCTTTTTACAAAACCACACAAAATATTCGATCCTATCGCACCATTTCGCGCGTGTACAAACGATGCGTGGACGATATATGTACGAGGTTTTTGGTGTGTTGTGCGTTACAACAACTGCATTATTTAAAAATTGAGAATGCTCACATGCACTTTACGTTCGTCTTTATAATCATCCAATATTGAAAAATCATAACAAGTATTTCATGATAGGGTTAATATACCCCTATCAGTGTTTAGAGATTTACTTCAACAAAATTTGATTTCCCTCGTTCGCCTCAGGTTTCAACAGTCTAGGTCCCAATCATCACTGACGAGGCCAAGCCGGACGAAACTGCTGTATGATGCAGTTTTTTCCTTATTTGGCCAAACTTTATCTAGTAATAAATGTGTATTGAAATTCTCTATTGACATATTTGTCTATTGTAAATTGTGAATTGTAAATAAATAATATTTGTTTATGTTTCCATAGGTTACGTGGCGAAAACTTCCATATATCACGCCAATTTTGGCCGGAGAAAGACGATTTGCTGCAGATCCTCGGTATGACGCCAATCATGTACCGTACAGAGATGAATGGAATTTGTTGATACGAAATGCTCAAACGTCAGACTCTGGCATATACGAATGCCAAGTCAGTTCAAAACACAGAACATTACGACAAAACATTTCATTATTAATAATAGGTGAGTTTTAAAAATAGTTACTGTAATTTTTGTTTTTTTATTTGTCTCCCCTCCTCCAACTTAGTTTTTCATTTTTTTAATTATATTAGTAGATATGGCCATCCTTTACAGATCTTTCAACAACCATGCACCTGTTGTCCCGACATTTTTTTATTTTTATCTTTTAGCGTTCATACCAGCGGCTACACAATATGATGTATATTTGCTCAAATGTTCAATTTGTCTGTAATGCACTTTCATTACACAAGTTTAATACGAAAATTGTCTGTTTTAATGGATATACACTGTTTAAGTTCAATAGTTCAAAGTATACATCGTTTCTGTCCGATATTGCAAACTTTGAGTCTCTAACAACTGTGTTGAGTTCCAGTGATTAGAATTGCTTAGATAATCACAACATGTACTTTAAAGTAAACCCAAGCTAAATCGTTTTGGTTGAGACAGATTTTTACTTTAATGGCTAACGTGGAATCAATGCATGCTCCATTCATTTTCTAGTTCTATCTATTGTTACACCTGTTTATTTGTGCGTTCGGTGTTATCATTTGCGTTATTGAATTTTATTTCAGAAAGAAGATTTAAGAAAGGTAAGCATTTGGTATACAAAAGGAGTTTTCACATTATGGTTAAACGTGATACATTTCTTTCTGTCCATCAATTTCAATTTTCCTCTTCTTTCTCTTTCATCTTTTTCTCTCTATCCTTTATTAATTCATTTTTCTAAACCCAAATCCCTTTCACAGCAACATTTCAGGCATCGTGTCTCCTATTAGATAAATCTTGTTTACACCAGAATAGATAGGACACTGGACACTCTTTGGGTTTTGGAACAGACTGGAATGTTGGTTTACATGTATCATTAAGCACTGCCATAGAGTCCATCACGTGGACACTTACACATATCGATCTAAACGCCAAACAGTTGTACAAATAAGGATATCAGTGATGTATAATAATTACTGTTGTCAATGGTCGTTTATCTTGTGTTTAACAAAAGTATAATATGAAATCCTTATATTATAGGAAACAGCACAAAGCATGATGACTCTATACACATATCAATAAATGATTGTTCTTCGGTAACTCAACTTGGTTTGGGAACTGAAATATCGTTTTACATCAGAGTTATATATTGATTGAATACAATCAAGATATCATTTATCTTATAATATGTAATATATTTAATTGTTAATGTAATGTAATTAGATATATGTATAATGTATATTGGCCGTTGTGTATTGAGTCTATAGTTCCACCTGTAAATCTAGGACATTATATAGTACCCTGTCATTGTTGACGTACGTAGCGCAACACGATTTAGTGGATCCCCCTGCAGCAGCGCAACGCGTAGTAATCTATTTCATGTTGATCACAAGGTCATCAGTAGATCGCAGATTAGCAATTAAACACAATTTCTTGGTTTTGTCTCTTAAAAACAAAGCATATATCAATTCCTGAGAATATCGTATCTTAATATGCTATTGGATAATGCTCTGCACTACTGAATATATTGTGATATACATGACGCAATTATTGATACATACAAATTGAGTTTCATTTGTGTTTTAAGGTCCTGTTAATGTACCCTTGACCTATAGAACACACGCTATAATCTGTACAATCCATTAAACCCTTCAACCCCCGCCTTTCTTACCTAATTTTCATTTCTTTTTTGTCTTCCATAGCAATTAATATAACGGGAGCTCGATATATCGAGCGAGGGATGCCGCTACTCTTAGTTTGTAACGCTACAGGAGAGGACTTCCCACCGGATGCAATACAGTGGTTTTTTAATGGTGACAAAATACAAAGTGATTCAAGAAAACGTTTACAAATAAGAGACGAACTTAATTTGATTACAAATACTTTAATAAGTACTCTCGAAATAAAGTACGCTTCAATGAGTGATACCGGAAATTACGTGTGTCGATCTTCAGTGAGGCTCACGACAGGGGTCCGAGTGGAAGTGTTAAATGGTACGCCTTCAATGCATGGCTCGCGAGGAGGAGGTAGGAAGGGGACCTTGGCTCTCAATGCACGATGTCTTATTATTTTTCATTTTATTAATTTCACTAAAATAGGTTAAATTATCTATGAACTAGAAAGTGAACAATTTGGCAATATGCGATAATTTTTTATGAATTCATTTCGTCGGTAAAACAAGTTGATATGATCGCGTGCAAATTTAGCTGTTTGATGTCAAAGATTGTACAAAAGACACACAAACCAGAATACACTTATCGAATATCAGTCATGTTTTCAAATAACCTTTTTATAACTATAAGATATGTAATTTACTGATTAATTGGGAAAGTGTTCCTTCCCATGTAGCTTTTTCCATCTCTTTCGTCCACTTTATAGTCTCCTCAGACACCTTAGGCCTGTAGTATCAATATCGAAGGACGACATCAGGCTTATTCCTGTTTAGGCTATATAATTCTCAATTTGTATTACAATTTCTATCATTCGTGTGTCTTTTTTCCATTTTTCCCATCGAAAAAGAGCAGGAAATAAAAAAAATAATTTACCTCCTTATTGAAAAGTAAATATTAAATATGCAACCTAACGGCGAAAATTGAACTCAAATATCATTAGTCATTTTGTAATCATAGAGGTAATAAAATGCAGCATTTGAAATTTGACGATTACGAATATTTTACACGTGTTCTAAACTATTACCATTTGCCAAAGAAAACAATGTGTTATGTTTGCTTTACTCTTAGATTTTAATCATAACTAAAAATAGATTTGTTAATTGCGAAAAATATTTCTCGTGTTCCAGATAAAATATTTGTGTTCGTTACTTTGCTTTTCCTTCTATCCATTAAAATATATATTACTGCCAATGATTATGAAAAAGTTATTCCAAAAGCAATACTAGAATGCATGATGTTTGCGTTGACTAGTACGAGCTAAGTTGAAACCCTGTCGTATCTCCTCCTTGTAAATAAATCATATTTACGTGCAAGGTAAATGTATACATATCCGTACCCTAAACCACACATATACTATATAAATTTCACTCTCACTATTTGGCATTGCATCATTTACTGTTGCAGTAGTTCATGTAATTCCTAATTGTATGTGCATGAATGCAATCAAACATCAACATCCTTTCCGATGTCCTTTTTTATCTTCCAGACATTGTGACCGAAATCCTTCTGAAGAATAGTTTACAGAAATTTGCGTCATCTCTTTTAATACTTTGATAACCCTGTTAACAATTCGTAATTAGCTGTATGGATTTATACAGTAATGTACAATTATCCCTGTTATGTTTTGTTGCTACATTTCAATTATAGTGTATCTCCTTATACACTGTACACAATATGTTATCAATGAAACATACTTGCATGTTTTTATACCAAATTATATACAAGGTACGCAAGCTCGATAAACTACATTATCTCGGCTACTTTGTCAAAGCATCATAGCTTTTTCTCATTTATTTTAAACTGCTAAAATTAAATCAATTTTCTTCTTATTTAAAATGCTGTTTTAGATATGTTTTATACGAGATAATGTTGTTTACGTCAGCGTTAGAAATGTAGCTTACCATATACATATGCATATTGCGCGACTTTTTTATTGCCAAATTGCGACCTTTTTGCTCCCTGTAATACCAGTATATATCTGTGGTTTTCCCTGTAGTACAGCCTTGTTAGAATCGCTATATAGAACACTAGACGAATGATTGTTGTGATTTAGTAGACATAGCCTATAAAAGGATATTCATACTATAGAATTTCCATGCTACTTCTTTACAACGAAACATTCAAGACTGACATACATCACCTCGTAATTAGTCCGTTCCGAACTAAGGTTAAATTATTATTCATGTCAATGAATTTATTTCATCTCTAGATATAGCGACAATATGTCGAGAACAGTATTTATTACTAATTGTGGAAAATATTCACACTATTCACTGAATATTGTGAATATAAGTTAGAACTATTTTGTCCATAAATGTGGCGTTTAATTGGTATGTTCTAAAATAATATCAGTCATGCAAAGTGGCTTCTGTAATATGTTCGAATCCTTGTGTGGCAGAGTCGTTAGACTGTCTAATTGAATATCGTTACTCTGTGAATTTGTAGGATGGACAATATTTAGAACAAACAGTGAGTATTCACGCGCGGATCATGAAAATATTTTTTTCTTGAAAAAAATATACATATATATATAAATATGTTGTTTTATTATCGTTTTCATTTTTCTTGAATTATCTTCAAAAAATTATCAAATCATTACATAATTTCGATGTCCAAATATATTTCAATTACAATTAACTTTAATTTGTTACACAAAATATCTTTCAGAGACTTTTTTGTCATTGATGCATGATGCATGTGTGCAATGTTTTCATATAAAGGTTATATGCATGCAGAGAGTGAGTATACGTTCTGTTTATATGTAAAACTAAATTTGTAGGTATTCAAAAGTAATGACTACTGGAAAAGCATCATACACTTTAGTCAACTTTGTCAACGTCTTTTCATTACATTCATTTCAATTCTATTTGCACCTCGAATAGCTGTGATATGAAATAACAATGTTCATTTTGTGTTTCATGCCAATATCTTCCTCGTATTTTTTTCACTTTTCACTTATTGAACAGACAACTAAAACACATTGGTAGTGTAAAAATGATTATCATGTTGAATGTTGACCTCCATTCGAGCAATACGAATGACGCGCAAATGCTTCGACTGAGTCGAATATTTTACAGAGTTACTCTCCATGGGACTGCAAAAAAAATTACCCCAATCAACATTATAGCCGCTTTTAACCATAGAAATGCATCATACAAACGCTGACGAAATGGGAAACAACCTAACTATATTTTAAAGTTCAATCACCTAACACATGGACATTCATAAAAGTAATTAAAAAAAATTAACAGGCTAAATGCCTTTACTGCTTCCCACTGTGTCAGTTTCCGGTATTATGACTTCCATGTTTACGACTACCATAAAGTAGACTATTTATCATCGATAAATACGTGTTAACGACCTCAACACTTGCCTTAATCCATTAACGGTGTAGGGGGTGTCGATTTGGGGATAAACAGGTTAAATAGAGCCAAACAGTGAGGGAACAAACGAGAAACTTAGCAATGCACGAAAAGTTTAACGAAAAGCATGTGTCGACATTGATTGCGTTATAACAGTTTTACAAGATAGAATGGTTACATTTGATCAAGGTTGCCTGAAACTTGTCAATTACTCAAAATAAACACAGCAATTAATGAATACACATCGGCTGTTATATTTGCATGTAATTTCAACTTTGAAGTTGTTCTATTCACATAGTATTACAATGTAAATGTTGTGTTCATGAAATATAGATAACATATTCATTACCGAAACTCATCTTGGCTCAAATGCAACTCATGTGATTTATATTTGTGTAAAACATTCAATTTCAATCTTGTATATATGATTCATCCTTAAGGAAATAAAATACCAACAAATCAAACAAAAACAAAGAGCAAATAAAAAGAAGAAGAAATATCCGGATACTGATTACTAATGTTACGAGATTTTTTTATGTTTTATTTGTTTGTATGCTATTCCTTATTAAAGTATTTTATTTTCACAACTATCTTTTTTTTCATTACAGCTGGTACTATTCCTAAAAAGAGAGGTAAGATCATTTTGTTAAGTTCTCGATTGATTAGAGAATATCTTGCGTTTTATTTGATGTAAAACTTATGTAATACTGCGAGCTTTTTTGCTATGTTCTCAGTCCACATTTGGAAACAGTTCTGTTTGTGTGTTACACAAACATTTGTTATTCTAAGAAAGATAATATTTTAGCAGCAGTGTAAGGTATTGTAAACCCTGCGAGAGGTATAAATATACTAATTGTATATCTAGTTTCCCAGGTCTGTAAAGATTCTGATCGCGTAAAAACAGATCATGCTTTGTACAGAGTATAATAATGTATTTGGTCATAACTTTTGTAATGTATGATCATTCAGAAGGGAAAACAACTTGGATTGGAAGATTTTCCGAGAAAACGTCGAATCCACTGATACCGATTTCGTTTCCTGGTTATTCCCATGGTAGTTAATTAGCACGTGTTCAACGTTTCTCATTTAACATACTTGTTGACATTGTATAATGTTGTTCTGTCGAGTGGCCATGACACCATATATCTTTTTGAGCGCGAGCGATCGTTAATTAATGTCAAGCCATTTTTTCTGTCAAGTTATATATGCCCCGAAATATAGGAAATAAATTTAGACACATAAGTATGCCTATGTAGATATGTTTTAAAACACACATAAATGTGATACCAATTATTACTTTGCCCTTTTTGTAATGATCATTTAAATATGATATTTCATGCTAAATGCTCTAATATCGTGTTAATATGGTCACTTCACTGAGGTTTCCTTTTTATTCTACAACTTACTCCCTAGACAATTCACTGGGAGAACAGCGGACACTGATTGATCTTACAATTAAAGGAAAATTCATATAAAAATTATACAAAATCATAAAAAAAGCATGTTTGAAAGAAACATTTCTTGATACTTTCACCATTGAAAACTTATATTCCAAAGGTCATGAAGGAATCACCAATACATGAAATATCCATTTTCTTGAGGTAATCCCGCATATTCCTGTAATAATTTTATAAAAACAAATCGCTGTTGTTTCAGCATAGCATATGATCAGTTCATCGAGTTAGTATCACAAAAAATGGGTCAATTGAGAAATGAAACCGGTAATATAAGATTAATGTTGGAAATGTATTTATCTCAAATGTTAGCAGAACGTCAATTCAAATTCCCTTTAGGAAGGTTAGTGTTGCAAAGGCCATCACATGAACAAATGTTTTTTGTTGTTAAGTACACCTATAAAACACAAACAACTGCCTCTAGTTGTTTGAAGTCAGCACAGTCCACGATAACCTTTAAATATACTTTATCACAAGTGTTCTTGCCATTTATATTTAATCTCAATTTTATTCTATGAATCCCTTAACCAGATCAGTATTTAAAATTATTTGATTTCATTCTTCACATTTAATGAAATACACGAAAAATCGGTGGTAAAATAAGTTGATCGTACATGTGATTAATACTTCGACTATTGACATTAAAGGTTCAATATCTGAACAGATGACTGCCAAGGAAAGTAATTTTTAGCGATTCCGTCTTTTTGAGTTACTTTGTAATTTGTTACCTCATCAATAACTAAAGCGGAGAATATACATCTCGAAAACACAAGTACAAGCAGGGCATACCAGTATATTATAATGCATGCATTGCCAAGATATGCTCATCTACACATTATATCGATATCAGGAACACATGTTGTCAAACTGGATGAGACGGACATTTCCGTGTTTTCGACAATACATGTGGCGCGCGCCTATCAGAGAGGTGATTCAATAACACAATGCGTGTACGTACAAAGCCGATATTTCATTGATTGTCCAAATTCTCCAATGTGGGTTGAACCTGCTAGGTAGTAACATCAGGAGATCCGACAACTTTACACATTACATATAACTTAATACGATGTTATCAATGGCGAAGTGTGTATTTCTTTACCTCTTCTAAACACGTCGGGGTGTATTTGTCTTGGCCAGCCATCCGCCAGACGCCCTATATACATATCACTAACTGTTGACAGCAACCCAATTCCTCTGTTTTTTAACATGGATCTAATATTCTTTTACAATGTATTTGCCAATGCGCACTGCTCTCCGGGATGGTTGATGGGATCCCGTTGATAGGTGCTGTGTTCAGATTCCATATTGCCATTCCAATAAATACAGTTTTATCTGCGATGTTCTATCACATTTCCTCTGATATAACGATTCACCTCCTGGCGATCCAGGAGGGGAGCAACAGCGTGGAATTCAGATGAATTCGATAGAGCTGATGAAAGTGTGACGGCATGGCATCATTCATGCATAAGGTCTGAAATGCTAATATTATAGTAGGTAATATTAGAGAGACTATTTATATTCTTTTCACACAAACGAATGGCGTTTATTTGAATGCTTCACACAATGTTAGTCTTCCTGCTATTATTTCAAAATAAGTAAAAATATATTCACGATAACCAGCTTTACCTTAAATTATTTAAAAGGTGCAATCTGCTTAAACAGAATAAAGGGCCTTTGAATAATACCGTACCATAGATTCATTTACCATAATGACCTTCAGTAAAACGGCCGGATATTTCATAAAACAGGTTGATAATTTTAATTGTTTTCATTACATTTTGTATCTCTCTCTCTCTCTCTCTCTCTCTCTCTCTCTCTCTCTCTCTCTCTCTCTCTCTCTCTCTCTCTCTCTCTCTCTCTCTCTCTCTCTCTCTCTCTCTCTCTCTCTCTCTCTCTCTCTCTCTCTCTCTCTCTCTCTCTCTCTCTCTCTCTCTCTCTCTCTCTCTCTCTCTCTCTCTCTCTCTCTCTCTCTCTCTCTCTCTCTCTCTCTCTCTCTCTCTCTCTCTCTTTTTAATAAGTTTTGTGTATAAAGTTCGTCCATACAACAGTTCATGCCTAAGTATACACACATGATGAGGTCATTCAAGTGTTTGGTAACAGCGCACTCATAGACTGATGTGAATATAAAGGACAACATTCATTTTACACTTGTCTTAACAAGACTTTAGTGTTTTTACGATCATACAAAACAAGATACAGTTGTAATTTCGTTGTTATTACAACACTTGTAATAAGATAATAAATATGCAATACCTCAGTCGTTCAATCCTTAGAACGTAAAACCTAAATAATGTCAACGAAATGGTGTTTAATATGTTGAGCACTTTAAACTTCCTTCTGTTTCTTGCTATCTCGACTGAACATTTTCCCCTTTTCGCCCAAATATCCTGTCTGTCCAATCCAATTCAGTATGCATTTGAAGTAGTTTTTTCCACCTTTGGTATTCCTATATATCTATTAAGGTTTCAAATTAACAGTGGAATTGATTTTATCGTCAATATTAAGACGCCTTAAATGAACTGTAGTAATGCTATGCACATACAGCTCTTTACTACGATTCAGTCTCACAGCTGTTATAGATGTGAGAGTCGATTTGTTCCCTGTTGTGTACAAACAGGTGTGAGTTAGCCTTGATATAATAAAACGAGAATATTTACGCTGTCGTTTTGAAAATTGATGTAAAATCCGAAACAAGGTACGTTATCGTCTGACCTATAACACTAACCCAAGATAAAAAGAAGATAGCCGAAGTGAAATGCGTACATTAATAGTCGAGTTAGCAACACAATGAAGCATTGCTACTTTTCTTCACAGCACGCTGCTTGGTTATAAGATACGAGGATAAAATATTGACGTCTCTCACTTATCGTATCGATCATTACAACGTTTCATTATCATAAGTACATCATTTTTTTCATCCTGAATAAATACACATGCATATTAAAGTAAGTAATCAGAATTCGTGATAAGTTTTAATCTGATTTAAGGTCATTTCTCCGTGATATACCTGGGAAATTAGTTCTCTATATATCAGATACAATGTTGAGGAATAATTGCTTCGTCATATTCATAGATTACGGTCCAGAGGGCGGAAATATCCGTAAGTTTACATTCAATCTCTGTTTGGTCTATTTCGCACGTGATGTTACTCATTGACATCATTTACTACCCATTGACATCGCTTACTATTCATAGACATCGCTCACTATTCATAGACATCGCTTACTATTCATTGACATCGCTTACTATCCATAGACATCGCTTACTATCCATAGACATCGCTTACTGTCCATAGACATCGCTTACTATTCATTGACATCGCTTACTATCCATAGACATCGCTTACTATCCATAGACATCGCTTACTATCCATTGACATCGCTTACTATCCACAGACATCGCTTACTATTCATTGACATCGCTTACTATTCATAGACATCGCTTACTATCCATAGAAATCGCTTACTATCCATTGACATCGCTTACTATCCATTGACATCGCTTACCATTCATAGACATCGCTTACTATCCATAGACATAGCTTACTATTCATAGACATCGCTTACTATCCATAGACATAGCTTACTATCCATTGACATCGCTTACTATCCATTGACATCGCTAACTATCCATTGACATCGCTTACTATTCATAGACATCGCTTACTATTCATAGACATCGCTCACTATTCATAGACATCGCATACTATCCATAGACACCGCTTACTATTCAGACATCGCTTACTATCCATAGACATCGCTTACTATCCATTGACATCGCTTACTATTCATAGACATCGCCTACTATCCATTGACATCGCTTAATATTCATAAACATCGTTCACTACTCATAGACATCGCTTAATGTTCATAGACATCGCTTACTATCCATTGACATCGCTTAATGTTCATAGACATCGCTTACTATCCATTGACATCACTTACTATTCATTGGCTCCGCTTACTACTCATAGACATCGCTCACTATCCATTGGCATCGCTTACTATCCATTGACATCGCTTACTATCCATTGACATCGCTTACTACTCATAGACATCGCTTACTATCCATTAAAATCGCTTACTACTCATAGACATCTCTTGCTATCCATAGACATCGCTTACTACTCATAGACATCGCTTACTATTCATAGACATCGCTCACTATTCATATACATCGCTTACTACTCATAGATATCGCTTACTATCCATTGACATCACTTACTACTCATAGACATCGCTTACTATCCATTAAAATCGCTTACTACTCATAGACATCTCTTACTATCCATTAACATCGCTTACTACTCATAGACATCGTTTACTACTCATAGACATCGCTTACTATTCATTGACATCGCTTACTATCCATTGACATCGCTTACTATTCATAGACATCGTTTACTATCCATTGACATCGCTTACTATTCATAGACATCGTTTACTATCCATAGACATCGTTTACTATCCATTGACATCGCTTACTATTCATAGACATCGTTTGCTATTCATAGACATCGCTTACTATTCATAGACATCGCTTACTATCCATTGACATCGCTTACTATCCATTGACATCGCTTACTATTCATAGACATCGTTTACTAGTCGTTCCACGTCGTTGTCGCTTCCCATTAGATGTCTGCATGGTTAGAAATAAACTAACAAGTAAATCGTAGTTAACTGTAAATATTTGGTTGTAACTTATTTAAATAATTATATTCAGCACCCATATGAATTTTTTTAAAATCGTAATAATTCACATTCTATGTTTCTATTGGTAGCTTCCTATCAAGAATTGATGTTGTCAATTAAAGAGAATCACCTTTTATTGCATACGGACAATGTCCTGTTACATGAAACGGTATTTTAGCCATAAATATTTCATGTCGTTACTTACAATGTTATGGCACATGGAACAAACATATGTTGTGTTTATGATTAGCTAGTCAGTATCAGATATGCAATGAACACAAGTATCACAATGGCTAGCACTTAAAGCGATGGTCACATGAAAGAGTAGAGTGGAAACAGAAGTTTTAGTGCTTGTTGTGGAAATGTATGGCTTGTTGACCGTTCTCCGTAATTCAGACCATGACCGTTTATCTCACTTTAGATGTTGTACAAAGTATTATGTTCTCTTCAGAAGCCAATGGACGGATCGACGTTCAAAATGTGGTTGATCTTTGAAACATTTTTGTGCAACAAAGGTTATCATATTTTAATCATTTTTCCAGACGTCTTTTACTAAATGGCATCATCAGTAGAACCCCGCAGCTTGTCACCACCTTTATTACCTTTATTGTTCTGATGCCGTTTCATTATCATCATTATCATTTTAAATAAAAATACAAAATTTGAAACGAATATGGATTTCGGTTCAATATCATATACATTCAGTTGTATGAGAAACACATAGCATATTTTTTACAAGCACTCCCAATATATTTTGCTTTGGAAATTTATTCGATATCAAATGCCACCTCTTTCTGTATGCATTGGTTTTCTGCCATATATTCACAGGGGAATTAATGCCGCTTCCAAACCAGAGACTCATTAGTGCACTCAGAAAAAGATTAATTGTTACAATGTCAACATTCCAATGACGTCACGTTGTTTACAACGGTGGTATGATGTCTGTACCGACTGACATGTCAGTATATTTGCGTGTTGTTCTTTTTTTTTTCGTGAGGTGTTATTTGTTAGGGTTACAGTATAATGCCTAACACAAACACAGTTTCATCATGAAGAATTGTATGCGCGGCAAATTAGTCACAAAACTTGAACTGCTTGTGGTGCCTCGTAATCTCTAACAACATCGGCTGTCATTGTTTGGGAAGACATCTTAGAAGAATTCCATTTTCCTGGAGATGATAATGTATTTAACAATTGGAATAAAATCATGGAAGTAAAGAAAAAAACGACCGTAGTTATGTAATGTCGAAATGAATTGCGCCGATGGTTGGTTTGCGACATGTCTATTAGTAGACTGAAGAGTTCAAAATTTTGGGAGCAGCGTTAGTACTACTCGGAAAATTGTGCCGGCGCATCTTTTTCCCCGGGTTTATGTAACTAAACTGGACACTTGAATGGAATCTACATTCAAAACAATGAACAGTGATATTAGGGAGCACTTTTAAAATTCACTAGTAATTATGTAACTTTGTGTTTCTTCGAGGAAAATGTGCCTTACTGATTATTTTGTGAATAATAACTTTTCTACAGCAAGTTACAGCAGTTCCTACATATAATCGTGCATTATTGTTATAACCAAGGCAAGTGAGAATCGGGTTGTGTGATATTTGGGAATCGGTTGCGTCGGTGAAAAATTCTCAGCAATGTTAATGCTGCTCCATCGCTAGGTCACGTGATCCATCTGAAGGAACGGTAACTGTGTTAGGCAGTGCATATAGGTCTGTAATATCCATGTATCACGGTGAGGCGATGTACGTGGAACATACTTATTCGGCGAAACCATAAAGAAAATCTTACCATTAAACTTATTATTTTTATTTTTTTATGTAGTGTGACATATTTCCCGTTGGATATGTCGGACATGAGAAATAGAAATAAAACTGGGCGAGAGACTATCAAATATATGGTATTCATTTTTTTTTCATTTTTTTTTTTTTTTTTTTCGATAATCAAAAGAATTTTTATTATCGTTATCTGTGATAATTTGGCTCTGAATAGCACTTTCGAAAATAACACTCATGATGCTATTCATGCAGTAACGAGGATAGGGAGAAATGCGAAGTATGTATAAAATAGACCCAGTGGGTTTGGTGATCTTAGCTCTGAATAACGTTGATGGTCTGGAAAATGTCGATTGTTTTGTTTATCACTGTCAGTGCTAATGATTATATTTCCGTCGTTTTAAATGTACAGTATGCATTATTGTATATCTACTGCAATGTGTCATACCGAAATGGCTCTTATTGAAAAAAAAATGATTTGCTTTAAATGAGCTTTGCAGGGCATTGTCACCCCTTTATGTTACTTTATGCCATTGTTGTGTAAATTGTTTGTTGGTATTAAAACGCTGATATTCTTTTTTTTTCAATTTTGAATTTAGATACGACGGATTACTTTGATGAAAATGTTTGATGTTTTTCGTTATATTTACATTCCAGTTAACTTTTTCATCGAATTTTAATCTCCATTCCTTCGCCGTTAAACTTACCCATGAAAATAATCACATTATAGCTTAAATATCAACACCCACATGTAATGATCTTTATTGGACAACACTTTTCTTAATTGACAAGCACTCGTTTTCAGTTAAATATCCTAATATACCTATTGGTGTCCAAAAAATACGATAATTAGTTTGTAAAAACGAGTTAATTCGCATCCCAAAATACTTTCAAAAGTAACTTGAGATATTTTTTCATTACATAAGTGGAGAATTATTCTTTCGCTTGATCGTGTGATACTCTTAAGACGTCATGTCAACCTATGTTTGATCGTTAAATATGCTATTCTATTGATGAAAATATAAATGATTAAATTCCCTGACTCTGGACATAACTGTAATAAACTTGTCTATTCTTTTTTTAATCTTTTCATTATGCTTGGTATGTGTTAATGTAAACCAGCCATTTCTAGATCGAAAACAGTAAATAAACACTTAAATTGGTATTTTTCTCGTCCATTGATTTGAATATATTAAACTTTTAATTTTTTTTAAATTGCAAATAGTGTATTTTCGATGCTTTCATTCTACTACAACAGCCGTCATCACCAGAGATAAAAAAGAGAAATGATCGCGTAAAGAAGATACCAAAAAATAACCCCGCAGACATTTAAACACGTTTTACTCTTTTAGCTTCTGAAATTAAGATTTATTCTAACCAATGTTTTGCACATCTCTACACAACTAACCAATATATCAAGTGTATTCTCTCTGGGGGTAAAAAAACAATAACTGGATTCCATAATAAATAGCGTCTAGCGAAACACATCTGTAATGTAGTGTTTTAAATCTAACCTATTTCTTTTTAAGCCTTTTCCCCCACGAGCTATGTTAGAATCCCTCTCTTTGAATTAATAGACGCCCACATCGACGGAAGAGTTAAATCATTTTATCACGTGTCCTGATTCTGGAGTTGAATCTGTTTGCTATCTTTTTAACTTATTGTTTCTACTTGTATTACTGATTACATAAAACAAATCCTTTACTGCTTATTTATATTTTTATGTGCATACAAAAAAAAATACAAAGACGATTTCAATTGATATGTAGGCGGTATACGCAGGCGGACAACATATTCAAAAAATAGCGAGCATTTCCATGTTAAACATTAAAAGTATTACACTTAACATCTCGAAAAAAATGTCTTTTTAAAGCGTCTGTTTTTTATGCCAGAGGTACATTCTAAAATAACTTTATTGAATGCTACAACAGGAGGTAGAAAGGTTTTGATACCTAAAACAGTAATTGCTTGTCGATGGTTTATCTATCCACAAATTGTGATGTTAATATCACTCTAATGCTTTACTAACTTTCTATTCGTTTATAGCGTTCTTAATTTGTTGTAATTTGAAATATTTGATCAGATAACACGTTGTTACTATTTACAGGTACATTCAATCAGACAGTTCGAGTGGAAAACACGGTTCATCAAGGAATGCGTGACATAGCAGCAGCCCTAGGATCAACTTCCGGAACAATACTCTGTCTTGTAGTGTTACAGTACGTCATCACGGGTTGGCAGCTCCTCTTATGATAAAATGGACTTTATAAAGACAAATAAGACAACATTTATAATGCTCTGCTGCAGTTCAAGACGAAGGAACATAAAATTACCACGTCATTTTAGAATGCCATTACGAGATAGACGTTGAAATTACCCGATAAGGATGTGAGGCAATCAACCAAATCGGTATTGGTTCAGTCACTAGACATCTGTGGAAACCTATTACATTCATCACCTGTGTGATATTTAACATACAGTTTGTATACATAGACACTGTCGTGAGACGACGACCTGTAAGATAAATTGACTAGGATATTTGTATACACCTAATTAAGGAAAAGATACATTTCACCGAGTATATAAATGTGTGGTAACACTAGAAAGTCATCTCTTGGTTTTATAACATCTGTTCGAGTAGTTCGGTGCCAATCGCAGTCATGGATTCTATGATGATGGCATTTAGAGTTTAATGTTTCAGGGATTTGTCGGAAGAACTGGCGACTTATGGCGTGAGACGATAAAAAAACACAATTAGATGGACTTTGAAATTTGTTAGATGATTCGTCTGAAGGAATTCCTCAGAGGAAAGTTCGCCTGGTATTGAGACTTAAAAACTCATTAGAGAGAATCGTTATGTTGTTTTGTTAATTGTAAGTGCTGGATGATGTACAATATTGGCGATTTTGAAACGTCTCAGACTTGTCTCCACACAATGTGTCTTGAATAATAAACAGAAGTGTCCAATCAGATGATTGTTTGGAGACCGAATAAGGTCAGCACAAACCTGGAAATATCAATTCCAATTATCTCATTATATTTGACATTTAAAATGTTGTAAAGTTTTCGAATATACCGGATATGACGATATACATGTATAATTACTTTTCATTCCGGCAAACTACTCGAGAAGTTGATACAGCGGAAACACCATTCTTGTATGTGAATGCTTCAGTATCAATCAAGGTCATTGTGACTCTTCTACTCTAGGAATCTGTGATACATTCGTTACTTCTCTTCTTTTATCGACCTCACAATGTCAGTGTTGCACTTTAGCTTTAAATGTCAGAGCGAGTTTACAGTTAGATAAACGTTGATATCGACACCCTATCGATGAGATCTTGGTCGTCGGTACGAGATAATGCCACGGGTCATTCAACACATTTTATTCATTTTGTCATGAACCCGACATTATGATACTTTGAATAGACTGGATATGAGTAGTTTGAGAGATAATTTGTTGTATATTAACAACACGTTTTGTATATCATTATCTGAATGTTTTCAGTTATGTCTGTTTTTATTTGTAAAACGTTAGAAACAAATACATAACCTTATTCGTATATCCGATACTGAAATATCACAAAGTTTTTTATGTAAAGATCGAAGTTACCAGCATTACAGAACATCATTACACAGTAAACTCTTCTTAGCACTATATTGTGTTGAATGACTCCATATAATAGTAATCAACAAGAAGTTGTGAAAATAGGCGCACGTGATATACATGTACAGAATCTTCTCCAAACTTGGCAGAAGATAAGATTTCTCAGGAGGGTTATTAGAGTTTGTGCATGATGCTTATTTTGAACGAGAAACATTTTAATATCCCATTGCATGTTACTGGCAGTACATTTTGCATCATTTAAAAAAAGAATGTACAAACGACACCCAAGTCAATAAACAGTTATACACAAATACAGATACAGTAGTGGCAAATAATGAATGGAACTAAAACTAAAAAGGTGGTAAATTTATTTTGTAAAATATATCGAAATCATGCAGAATATTTTTTTGTATCTTTTCGAGAATATGATCATGTACGATGTATGTAATGTATCAAGAATAACAAAGAAGGCGTAACTTATCTAATTATCATTTAATATACACATCGCATCTGTTACCACAATTTTTACCGCAACTGTTACCGCATCTGTTACCACAACTTTTACCACAACTGTTACCGCATCTGTTACCACAACTTTTACCGCAACTGTTACCGCATCTGTTACCACAACTTTTACCGCAACTGTTACCGCATCTGTTACCACAACTTTTACCACAACTTTTACCGCAACTGTTAACTCAACTGATACCACAACTTTTACAGCAACTGTTACCGCAACTGTTACCACAACTTCTACCGCAACTGTTACAGCAACTGATACCACAACTTTTACCGCAACTGTTACCGCAACTGATACCACAATTTTACCGCAACTGTTACCGCAACTGATACCACAACTTTTACCGCAACTGTGACCAAAAAATGTTACTACAACTTTTAACGCAAATTTTACCGCAACTGTTACCACAACTTTTACCGCAACTGTTACCGCAACTGATACCACAACTTTTACCGCAACTGTTACCGCAACTGATACCACAACTTTTACCGCAACTGTTACCGCAACTGATACCACAACTTCTACCGCAACTGTGACTAAAAAATGTTACTACAACTTTTAACGCAAATTTTACCGCAACTGTTACCACAACTATTACCGCAACTGTTACCGCAACTGATACCACAATTTTTACCGCAACTGTTACCGCAACTGATACAACTTTTACCGCAACTGTTACCGCAACTGATACCACAACTTCTACCGCAACTGTGACTAAAAAATGTTACTACAACTTTTAACGCAAATTTTACCGCAACTGTTACCACAACTATTACCGCAACTGTTACCGCAACTGATACCACAATTTTTACCGCAACTGTTACCGCAACTGATACCACAACTTTTACCGCAACTGTGACCAAAAAATGTTACTACAACTTTTAACGCAAATTTTACCGCAACTTAAAGAGATGAACTGTATGTAGTTTATATCGATCTCACTTTTGAAGGAAATTGTTTTTAGGTGATTATAAGCGTTATGTATCAATATCCTTAATCTTTATGTTGACCTTTAATGAAGTAATGTTTGACCATATCTATGTCCAATTGAATTATTGTTTTATAATGGATTAATTATTACGAAAGGAATTAGTTATGACATATAATCTGATGTCTGAAATGACAGACAAAAAATAACAATACCCCAAAGGAATAGCACTACACCAATATATTGAACACGAATTAGTCATATTTTCTAATTCGAATCAATGTAGCGGAACTGAACTTATTATTCAGAAAAATCTGCACCACTTTATAGATGCGTTCGAGCTAGACATATTGGTGCCGATCCAGTCAATTCTGGTATATTTTATACCAAGAAGATGTATAATATTTCCAATTTACTGCAGAACGTCCAATATAGATTAATTGAATTTTTACAAATTTGACACAAATTGATTTGATAGGTATTGTAGATGGTATGTTCAATTTCAGAAAAATTACATGTAACAAAATCGATTGGAATTAGTGTAAAATTTAATAACAAATGCATCAACCAATAAATTGGCTATGCAAATTTGTGTCGACAGAGACTTGTTGGTTTCTGCAATGTCAGTACATGTCTGTTATTTACGAGCAATTGCATTCAATGATACTTTAAATAGGATGTTAAAATCGGGGGAAATGCTTACCAAAATCCCTATAGAGTTTTAATCTTCAGTACATTGCATATTGCTAATATTACCATGATATCATTATTCTGAATAAGTTATTATTTACTGAAAGTACCGTTGTGAAGACAGAATTAAGGAATGGAGTGTTTCAAATCAACTGAAATTTGACTTTTTCCATTAATTAATCCATTGTGGTTAAATATCACTAAAATCTACAGACCCTCTGACGACTTCTCACCGCAAAATATTAGAATGTCCACTCCATACAACAGTGTATGTCAGCAGTGGAATGTTGTAGAATGTCCACTCCATACAACAGTGTATGTCAGCAGTGGAATGTTGTAGAATGTCCACTCCATACAACAGTGTATGTCAGCAGTGGAATGTTGTAGAATGTCCACTCCATACAACAGTGTATGTCAGCAGTGAAATGTATAACAATGTTGTAGAATGTCCACTCCATACAACAGTGTATGTCAGCAGTGAAATGTATAACAATGTTGTAGAATGTCCACTCCATACAACAGTGTATGTCAGCAGTGAAATGTATAACAATGTTGTAGAATGTCCACTCCATACAACAGTGTATGTCAGCAGTGAAATGTTGTAGAATGTCCACTCCATACAACAGTGTATGTCAGCAGTGAAATGTATAACAATGTTGTGGAATGAATGTCCACTCCATACAACAGTGTATGTCAGCAGTGAAATGTATAACAATGTTGTAGAATGTCCACTCCATACAACAGTGTATGTCAGCAGTGGAATGTTGTAGAATGTCCACTCCATACAACAGTGTATGTCAGCAGTGGAATGTTGTAGAATGTCCACTCCATACAACAGTGTATGTCAGCAGTGGAATGTTGTAGAATGTCCACTCCATACAACAGTGTATGTCAGCAGTGGAATGTTGTAGAATGTCCACTCCATACAACAGTGTATGTCAGCAGTGAAATGTTGTAGAATGTCCACTCCATACAACAGTATATGTCTGTAGTGGAATGTTGTAGAATGTCCACTCCATACAACAGTATATGTTTGTAGTGGAATGTTGTAGAATGTCCACTCCATACAACAGTATATGTTTGTAGTGGAATGTTGTAGAATGTCCACTCCATACAACAGTATATGTTTGTAGTGGAATGTTGTAGAATGTCCACTCCATACAACAGTGTATGTTTGTAGTGGAATGTTGTAGAATGTCCACTCCATACAACAGTGTATGTTTGTAGTGGAATGTTGTAGAATGTCCACTCCATACAACAGTGTATGTTTGTAGTGGAATGTTGTAGAATGTCCACTCCATACAACAGTGTATGTTTGTAGTGGAATGTTGTAGAATGTCCACTCCATACAACAGTATATGTTTGTAGTGGAATGTTGTAGAATGTCCACTCCATACACCAGTATATCACTTCCAGGTCTTATTTTAACTCGATCTACTTAGTTAGCTAATTAGTCACAAACAATTATTTGAATTTTAACATCTGCGTAACCACTGAAATAATTGGCA